AAGTATAAAGTATCTACCTCCCACCAATAGAGATAGAGTTGCAGTAGGCTTGTGGTTTCGGAATTATATGGCTAGATTGATATATACGAGACGCTGCCTACCTGCATCCGCGTTATAAAAATGTCTATAAACAATTGGTAAGTTTATAGGCTTGTGGTTTGAAAATGTTTGGTTAAGTACCTAGAATTCAAAAATTTGATGTTTGTAGGTTTTAGATGTGTAGAAAGTGTTGTTTGAGCAAATGTTTGGTTTCTGCAGGTTAATATCAGAAGTGAACTGCGTGAAAATGATGTATGGCTGCAAAAGTTGATTCAATAGTAGATGAGGAAATAAGAATTATTGCTTATTTTTTTTATTGTTTAATTGATTTGTAAAAGACGATTTGTAAAAGTTGATTTGTTTAATTGATGTGAACATAATTCTTAATTGTGCTTGTTTAATTGATTGAAATGTAATGGTTGATTTTGTTGATTTCAATCTGCATTATGTTGAAGGTAAAAATGAATCACAATGCGAAAGGAAAATCGCAACGAGAGAATCGCAACAACAAAATCGCAACGCGAAACTAAAATCGCAACGCAAAACTAAATTCGCGTTGCGATTTTCATTTCGCTTTGCGATTCCCTTGTTGCGATTTTCATTTCGCATTGCGATTCTCTCGTTGCGATTTTCATTTCGCATTGCGATTCTCTCGTTGCGATTTTCATTTCGCATTGCGATAGTTATTTCCGCGTTGCGATAGACATTAAGATGATTGCGAACGTCATTTCCGTGTTGCGATAGTCAAATGAATGCCTCATAAGTGATAACAACTGAATAGATCATAGTAATTTTCAAACTCAAGTTACTAATACATGCCTAACTGAAAATGTTAAAAGTTCACACATAAAATCCACATAATACAACATTTGCATTTAAAAATCACCTAAGTTAACAGTCCCAAAAGGTGAAGCCGGTTGTGATTGGGATTTTAAAGATGATTGCGATTTTGATTGCCTTTTGCTTGACACCATATGAGCTTTGGATTTTGATGAGGATCCATATTTTGGTAGAGGAAAAGATGATTGTGATAGAACTGGTGATCCACATGTCAACCTTGTATGACCACTTTCCTTGCACCGACTACATGTCGATCTCTTCTTCTCTTCACCCTTAGACGGTATACGATCGTGACTTTTTGGTCGGCCAGGTAGCCTTCTGTCCATGGCTGGTGACAAAACTGTTTGTAAGTCATCTGGTATGTCACACTCAGAAGGATGTGGAATAGGGTAGACAATCTCGCTATAAGTCTGTCGATATACTTCTGTAGTGTAGCAATCCATAGCGTATGCGCTTGAATTATCTTGATTTAGATGAAGAGAAACTTTTATAACATGGCCACACGAATAACCAGATGTTTGCCATTTCATACAACTACACGTCTTTGCATTTAGATCGACAAGCCCATTTAAGTTATTATCCAGTACTTCAAACAAAGTGTTTGAACATGGTTCAACTCTCCATGATGTTGACTTCACAACACGTTTCGTTATCTTTTTTTCTGTCCATGGTGTAACACGATGTTCCAATGTTCCTGTAAATTTAAATAAATAATACTTAGTAAAATATATGATAAGTTACGAATTTAAAGAAATAATACCTGCATGGTTTCTTTTATTGTAGTACCACTATTGAATAGAGGCTCGAAAAAACTCCATTAACATAGTAATGGGTAATTTCCGGGAATGAACACTTAGAGCGTTGATTGATTCTGTACTATTAGACGTCATGAAACCATATCTTGTTCCAAGTTGATGTACTCTTGACCATCTTTCAAACCCGACATCATCTAGTGTTTGAGCACAGTGAGGCAAAACACGTCTTAAACAGTTTATATGCTTATTAAAATCCACTTCCCGATAAGCTTTTACAGCCTTCCAGTATGTCCATTTGTGATTTTTTATACCAGCAGACCTTGATTTTAGATTTCTATACAAATGAACACCACAAAGTCCATGAAAAGCATCTAGGAAACACCTTCTAACAGCGTTGTCAATTGAGTTTGCCCTATCAGATATGATTGTTAGATTGGTAATAGGACCTATGCAATCCCTAAGATGCCCCATAAACCATGTCCATGAATCAAAGGTTTCAAATTTTCCAACCCCGTAAGCTATTGGCAGTATCCCATTGTTAGCATCCATGGCTACTGCTAATAAGTTTACTCCAAGGTATCTACCTTTTAAATGTGCTCCGTCAACTATAATAACTAGGCGCATGCAATTAATAAACGAACGAATCTACAAAATCATATACACAAGAAATATAATCATTTAAATGTAAAATGCATGTAACTAACAAAAATGAGTCAACAAAATTATATTGATTTACTAACCGCAGCACCAATGGCGATAAACAATAACTCAAAGCGTCCATCTCTATCTGTTTTGATATGAGTTACCGACCCAGGATTTTTCAGCTTTAAATTGTGACAATAAGCCGGCAGTTGGGCAAACGATGCTTCTGGCGACCCCCTCAACAATTCCAAGGCATAACATTTGGCTCTCCAAGCTTGAGAATATGAGATACTAATCTTGAACCGAGCATTCATGGCAGTCATAATTTCATGTCCCCGATATACCCTACCATTCAAAAACATTAACTCAGCCAGAAAACCACCCAACACCTTTTTGTTTGCATGTCTATGGTGAGGAAAAACTTGGGTTCTTGAACATGTATGTTTATCAATAAAAGTCCTAACTTGAAACATTTCGCAATCTTTTATCCTCTTTGCAATCATACGCCACAAACAGTTTTTGTCAATCATACACCTTGTTTCGAAACGATCTTTGCTTGATTTGTTAACTTTTAGTTGATAGCCATCTTCCACACATTTCGTATACAAAGCTATCTTCAAGTCTTCCTTTGTATCAAAACAATCATCTTTCTTGATACAAATAATTTTTGTGTGACAATCAACTGCTATCTTTACCAACTCTTCTTCCGGTATCTGAAGTAATTCTGGCATATTCCAGTTATACTCCCGTGGCATTTTCTTCGGGGACTTTTCTTTGGGGATTTCTTCTTCTTCTTTTTCTTCTTCAATGTTATATGAATTACAGAATGGATGTTCAATATGTTCATTTACAGCCGTAACTTCCTCCTCATTATCATCAACAACATCTTCCTCGGCAAAGGTTATTTCATCATCAAAATTTGGGTATTGACCAATATCAAAATCATTACACGCAGGGTATGTTTCTTCTTCTGAAAAATCATCAAAATCCGAGTATTGACCAAGATCAAAGTCCGGGTATTGACCAAGATCAAATTTCGAATACTGACTAGTACTCACAATTTTTTTTGTTGGCTCATCATCGTCTAACTGGTCAATACGAAAACCAGAATTTGGTGCTGAAAGTTGATTGGGATTTGGATTAGGGAAAGGTTGTGGGTTTTGAGATTGTGTTTGGTATTGGAAATGTGGTGAAACAATATTTGCTTGGTGATGAAATTGTGGTGGAACCATTAAATTTTGAGCATCATAAACTGCGGTTGAAAAACTTAGTTGATTACTACCCGCTACTGACCCAACTTCACTACTTCTAGGTTCAACAACATACAATGTAACATCATCACTTGAAACACTAATGTAAGCAATGAATCGTTCAACATCTTCATTGTCGGTTAACAAATAAACTTTACCATTTTTCTGATAAGATAGCCTAAATCCACTTAGGGGCTCTAAATTCAATTTATTTGCAACACATAACATTAGAGTTTCATAAGTTAACTTTTTTAATGACAGTTTTAGTTGAAGATTCATGGATAAAGGCATATATTGTAAAACACCATGAACATTCTCCCATGACCCTCCAAAACACAAATCTATCCAAACACGATCAACATTAGATGATTTCATTATTGTAAATTAATTTACTAAACAAACGAGCTGCGAAACTAAAACCTGTTGTCGGATGGGGAAGGATGTCGTTGGATATGGGAACGGATGTCGCCGGAGAGAGTGATAGATGGAGATGTAATGAGTTGCGATTTAGGGATTTAGGTTATGAGTTGTTGCTGCTGCGTATTTATATACCCAAAACATTTGTGTTGCGAAATTAAAACCTGTTGCGAATTCAAAAATCGAGTTGCGAATTTGAAATTCAGTATTGCGATAGTCAGAATCTCGTTGCGATTTACTAAATCGCAATGCGATTACGTAAATCGAAGTACGAATTAGGAAAATCGTAATGCGAATTAGTAAAATCGCAATGCAATTACGTAAATCGCAATGCGAATTAGTAAAATCGTAATGAAATTGCGTAAATCGCAATGCGATTACGTAAATCGCAATGCGGTTACGTAAATCGCAATGCGAATTAGAAAAATCGTAATGCGAATTAGGAAAATCGCAATGCGATTACGTAAATCGCAATGCGAATTAGGAAAATCGCAATGCGATTACGTAAATCGCAATGCGAATTAGGAAAATCGCAATGCGATTACGTAAATCGCAATGCGAATTACGTATTCGCATTGCGAATTAGGAAAATCGCAACACGAATTTGGGAAATCGCAATGCTATAGTCAGAATCGCGTTGCGAATCTGGAAACTGATTTGCGATACCGGAGATCGCGTTGCGAATTATCGATCGCATTGCGATTTAGTTGGTCATTTTGGCAAATCCAAAAAAATTTGGTTAAAATCGTATATTATAAGGCATTTTTGGTCACTGAGGTTATTTTCTCTATCATTAATCACTAAATATGACGAAAACAAAGAAACATCACGTTTATAGTATATTTTGTGACATTATTCATAATGTCATATAAAAATTTTATCATAAATTGATAAATTTATTGTAGTGCATTTAATGAACGAGTGAATTTAATGGCAGAAAGGGAATCCCGTAAGTCGTGTTTTCGAAATGTGGCTTTTCGATTCATTGCACAATTTTTGCTTGTATATATATAACCTGCAATTGCTCTTTTCATTTGTCCTTGAAGAGTGAATTTTCATGAAAGCAAATCGTGTTGATAGAATCAGTAACTTGTCGAATTCCCTTCTAAGTCGCATCCTATCGTCGCTTGTCATCAAAGATGTAGTTTTCACCTTCATTCTATCAACCATATGACGATATATGTTTGTCTCATTGCTTAATCTTGGTGTTGATTTAAAAAAAATTTAGTTTTCTCTTTGTCCTTCTAAGAGCTTCACAAAATTCATAGATAAAATGTTGTTTTTCCATACTGAGAGAAGAATCGAACAATTTCGACTCGATCATATTGACAAACAAACGACCAAATCTTAGCATGTTTGTGGATGGATATCTGCTGCACTTTAGCGTGGAGTTAAGGATTCGGATTTGCTTTTTGTTCCCATGTTGCCTGCTCTACTTTTTACCAGCAAGACACTGGTGAGATTGAACCTAAACGTCCCATATATAACGAGTGTTCCGATTCATGTTTGCTTGCCTAGCCTCAAGACCTTGGAGCTTCAAGAAATTAAATTTAAAGATGACGATTCAATCAAGAGGCTCATTTCAAGTTGTCCAGTACTTGAAGACAATCATCTTTACCCGGAACATGGGAAATAAGTATCTCTAGAAAAAATAACATTCATTTTAACTACTAAGGTCACATAACGTGTTTCATTTGTAAATTATATTTTAAATCAATAATACTATATTTTTAAAATATTTTTTTATAATTTTATAGATTATGGATATATGTTGAAAGACATTTAGATATTATTTCAAGTAATTATTCAACCTAAGTATATCGAAAAGTTATCTAAAAATGTTGGATTGATCACAATGAATTTAAAAAATCACCAAAAACATTATATTTATAGATTGGAATTATAAATGGTATGATAAAAAAGCATACCTATTATTGAATTGACAATGAATTTAAAAAAACCAAAAACATCCATAAAATTATATGTGAATTGAACCATACAATTATAGATTGGAATTATAAATGGTATGGTAAAATAGTATACCTAATATTTCGTGCATATCTTATCTGCCTTTACTCTCCTTCCTCTTATGACCAAAACACAAAATCTAATCCCTCTTGATTGATTGGGTGACGGTAATTACATGATGAGACTGAATTAGCTCTTTAAAAGGTTTCAGAAATCCTTTCATTGATACATTAAAAAAACTAGATTGATTATACTTATGGGAATCTCACTCTTGTTCCTCTCGCTCTTTATAGGCTTCTCTTCATGCGCCCAGCCTCCCATTTCTGGCCATGGCGGCCTCAACTGTGACCCACCTCTTGTATTCGAAAACCCTAGGCTTCTAAACACCTACACAGCTGTACAAGCTTGGAAACGAGCTATTGTATCCGACCCTTTAAACCTCACTGCTAATTGGATTGGCTATGATGTTTGTGGTTACACCGGGGTTTATTGTGCTCCTGCACCTGATGACCACTCCATCAAAACAGTCGCAGGCATTGATTTAAACCACGGTGATATTGGTGGGCACTTTCCGGAAGAGCTTCGCTTGCTCACTGATCTCGCAGTGTTTCACATCAACACCAACCACTTTTGCGGTGCGGTTCCAAACAAGTTCAGAGAGCTGAAGCTTCTGTTCGAACTGGATCTTAGCAACAACCGTTTCACCGGTGAGTTTCCTCGCGTGGTTCTCGAGTTGCCTTGGCTTAAGTTCTTGGATTTGAGGTTCAACAAGTTTAAAGTAACCGTGCCGAAGGTACTTTTCGATTAAGATTTGGACGCTATTTTTATTAACCACAACATGTTTATGTGATATTTGTCGGACAACTTCGGCAACTCCCCGGTTTCTACTATGGTCTTGGCCGACAATAAGTTTGGCGGCTGGGTTCCGTCGAGTATCGGAGACATGGCTAATCTTCAAGAGATAATCCTTAGGAACAATGGGTTCAGATCTTGCATGCCTGAAGTAATCGGTAGACTTAAAAATACAACTGTTTTTTATGTTAGTTTCAATAAGATTATGGGACCTTTGCCGGAAGATATAGGGGGAATGATGTGTTGTGGAATTCGGGTTAACTTCCACCAATAATAACAAATTCACCTTGAAAACTATTATCTAGGTGACTAGTGTGAAAATGATTGTACTAAAAATCACACCAAGGTAGATTCCCAGGAAAGAGGAGGGGTCACAATGGTCTCTCTTAAAACCCAATTTCCTTAGACAGAACTACTAAGACAAGTAATTTTAATAGGACAATAATTAACAAAAACTATACCCGACAATAGCTATTAAATAGACATAAAGAGAACACCAAAATTTAACGAGATTAGGCCAAAATTATGCCTATCTCCTCGAACACTACTAAAATAATATTTCACTAGTAGAGAAAATATTACAAAGAGAAAGAAATAATATAAATAGCTTTTAATATAGAAGAAGGTTTATATTTGTGGGATGATAAACTAAGGAGGAGGATGGCTCTATTTATAATAAAAAAACTTCCCCTCCTCCTTATATAAAACCAATGTGGGATGTTTGCCAAAAACCAACAAATCTCCACCTTGGCAAATTCCACACACGTCTCTCACAAAATCCAATCTTCAGTAGTGTCTGCAATTCATCTTTCAATTTGTAACAATATTGACCAAGTCTAAACAATGTTTAAACTTGACCGTAGTTACCACTTTTGTCAACATATCAGCAGGATTCTCAGTGGTCCGAATCTTCTGGATTATGACTCCGCATTCTTCTAGAATCTCTCGTACAAAGTGATATCGAACATCGATGTGCTTCGTCCTTGCATGGTAAACTTGGTTCTTTGCTAAATGAATAGCACTCTAACTGTCACAGTGCACTTTGATGTGCTTTTGTTCCATTCCCAATTCACCAAACAACCCTTGAAACCAAATTGCCTCCTTCACAGCCTCTGTAACTGCCATATACTCTGCCTCTGTAGTAGACAATGCCACTGTTGACTGTAAGGTGGACTTCCAATTGACTGGTGCTTTTGCAAATGTAAACACATAACCAGTAGTTGATCGACGCTTGTCCAAATCACCTGCATAATCTGAATCACAATACCCAACTACACACTGACCATCTTGTTTGTCCTGCTGAAAGACCAAACCAACATCTACGGTGTTTAGAATATACCGCATAATCCATTTCACAGCTTCCCAATGCTCCTTTCCAGGATCATGCATATACCTGCTCACAACCCCAACTGCCTGTGAAATATCGGGTCTCGTACACACCATTGCATACATTAAGCTACCAACAGCACTTGCATACGGAACCTTTGACATGTATTCCCGTTCTGCATCATCCTTAGGTGACATGGATGCACCGAGCTTGAAATGAGGAGCAAGAGGTGTACTAACTGGTTTTGACTTCTCATTCATGCCAAAACGTTTTAGAACCTTCTTCAGATATTCTTTCTGAGATAAACAAAGCCTCCCCAATTTTTTATCCTTTGATATCTCCATGCCTAGAATCTTCTTTGCTTTACCAAGATCCTTCATCTCAAACTCCCTGTTCAATTGAGTCTTTAGTTTCGCAATTTCTGTCTGACTCCTGGAAGCTATCAGCATATCATCAACATAAAGAAGAAGATATATATAGGATCCGTCTTGTAGCTTGCGTAAATACAGACAATGATCATATTTGCTTCTTGTGTACTTCTGCCCTATCATAAACTTGTCAAATCACTTGTACCATTGCCTTGGAGATTGCTTCAATCCGTATAGCGATTTTTCTAATTTGCACACCATCTCTTCTTTTTCAGCAACTTTGAATCCATCTGGCTAAGTCATGTAGATTTCCTCATCCAAGTCTCCATGTAAAAATGCAGTTTTTATATCCATCTGAACTAGTTCCAAATCCAACTGTGCTACCAAAGCCAACAAAATTCTGATGGAGGAATGTTTTACAACTGGAGAAAATACTTCATTATAATCAACTCCCTCCGTTTGGGCGTAGCCTTTAGCCACCAATCTTTCTTTGTAGCGGATGTTATTCTTGTCAGGAAATCCATCTTTCTTTGCATATACCCACTTGCACCCAATTGCCTTCTTTCCCTTCGGAAGACTAGCTAGTTTCCACGTCTGATTCTTTTGAAGGGATTGCATTTCTTCATTCATGGCGATCCTTCACTTTTTATGTTTTGAACTTTAGACTGCTTCATTAAAAGTGGCAGGAACGTCATCAATTGCAATTGGTGATGCAAAAGAGACCATATCAGCATAACGAGCAGGTTGTGTAATGGTCCTCTTTCCCTTTCTGAGTGCAATTGATTCATGTTGCTGTGGATGTTCTTGGATCTGAACCTCTTCTTCATCTGACCCTTCTTCTACCATAGGAAAGTCAACATCAGTTTCTTTACTGGTTGGGACAATCTTGCTTCCTTCAAACTCCACCTGTTTGGGAGTTCCATCTGTCTGGTCTAATTTTTCTGAAGTCACCTTTCTCAACATGGTAGATTCATCAAAGGTAACATCCCTGCTGAAGATTATTTTCTTTGTTTCTGGACACCAAAGACGATAGCCTTTCACACCAGAGGTGATCCCCATAAAGATCGCCTTCTTTGCTCTTGGATCCAGCTTTGACTCCTTAACATGGTAGTATACAGTGGAACCAAACACATGTAAGGAATCATAATCTGTAACAGGTTCTCCAAACCATTTCTCTAATGGTGTTTTACCACCAATAGCAGTCGATGGTAAGCGGTTGACAAGATGACAAGCATAGACCAAAGCCTCAGCCCAAAATTCTTTGCCTAACCCAGCATTAGACAACATACACCGAACCTTCTCCACTAATGTCCGGTTCATACGCTCTGTCATCCCATTCTGTTGTGGTGTACTTCTGACAGTGAAGTGCCTGACAATACCTTCTTCTTCACAGACTTTCAGAAATGGATCATTTTTGTACTCTCCACCATTGTCTGTACGAAGACGTTTGATTTTTCTGCCTGTTTGAGTCTCCACCATCTTTTTCCATTTAAGGAAAAATCCTAGCACCTCATCCTTTGTCTTCATTGTATACACCCAAACTCTCTGGGAAAAATCATCAACAAAGGTAACATAATAGTGTGTTCCTCCCAATGAAGTTGTCTTGGAAGGCCCCCATACATCTGAATGAACATAATCCAAAATACCTTTAGTATCATGGATTACTGTTCCAAATTTTACCCTCGTCTTCTTCCCTTTGATGCAATACTCACAAAAAGCTAATTTGTAAGCCCGAACACCCTTCAATAATCCTTGATCTATCAGCAATTTCAAGGATTTTTCACCAACATGCCCCAAGCACATATGCCATAACCTGGTTGCTTCTGACTCCTGTTCATCAGTAGAAGCTGCCACTGCTGTTGTCCCAACAATTGTACTACCCAGAAAGTAATACACGTTGTTTCTTTTCCGGATTCCCTTCATTATCACCAGTGCACCAGAGATAATCCTCATAATCCCATCTTTTGCCCTCACTTCTAAACCTTTTGACTCTAAGGTTCTCACAGAGATGAGATTTCTCATTAAATCTGGTACATAATGGACACCTGTTAAGGTTCTGATTGATCTATCCTGATTCCTCAAGCGAATTGAACCAATCCCAAGTGTGTCAAGATGGGAATT